CGGGTGGCGCTTGCCGCCGCGGGTGGTGGCGGAGGAGGCGGCGTCCTCTTGGTGCGGGTGTTGGTCCATTCCGTGTTTTTACATCGGCAACGCCTCTTCCCTCTCCGTTACATTGCGCATTTATAAATGATCTTCTGCGATTGCGTGCGGACTCAATTACGGAAATGCCCCTCCGGAGAGAGAGAGCAACTCAACTCAATTTACTCCTCCTGTTTTTCTACGTAAAGGACCAGCATGCAATTAAATAAAGGGTTATATATTATTGGTCCTTCTTCACCACGCGCTCTACTTCCACTCAACTCTCTTCTTTTTATTTTCCTAATTTTCCTTCCCTAACCCTAAACCTAATTCTCCATCTACATTTTATATCGGAACACCGGTAATGCTTGGAAGAATTTGTTTGGCTAAAATATAAGTCTCCAAAATATGAGTTTATCAAATATGGGATTCCACTAAATAGAACTTGAATTAACATTTGAGTTTATAACCTTTTTCTTCACTTTTACTTTCGGAACATTGATAAGTTTTCTCATATATCGCCTGTATTAATTAATGATAAATTTCTATAACATACACTATTTATTTTGTTTGTAACCCTGTTCATTTTTTTTAAATCAAATGTTTGATTTTAAATAAAATAAAAATATTGTTTTCCCATTAATCAAAAAATAAAATAAAAAGATTAAAATTAAAATTATATTTAACTAAAGTATTTTTTTTTGTCTCACTCTATATATAAATCATACAAACATGTTTCTTTATATTGTTTATATTTCTCAACTAGTTTAACAATTGATTTTACTACACTTTTAATTCAATAAATTAATTTTTTAAAATTAACTTTTATTTTTTAGCTGATTTATGAACTACTTCTATAGACATAACTTTCATGGCTTTCTTAAGTGTTTTTCAGGTTAATTATTCCAATAAATTTCACACAAAAGAAGTATAACCTTTTAAAATTTATTTCAACAAATTTTAGTATTTTACAATACGACTTATAAATAATGTTTTATTTGATTTAATATAAAATTATTAAGTAAATAATCAATTAAACTATTTTTCCAAACTCACCTTTAATCCATATGTTTGATTATTAGAATCTAGGTTAATTATGAGATATTTTTAGTAACATTAAAATATTTCAATGTGTGGTGAATAAAATTTACTTACATAGAGTTTAGATCTCCTATGAATATAATGATATGATAACTTGTCCAATGCTAATTATCATCCAATGATTTGTCAAAAAAGTATAGCGTAACGTGTAATTGCGGAGTTGCAAAAATTGGTTAATAGAGGTGAGATATTGGCTCAAAGTGAAGCCTCAATTTAATCCATAATCATGGCCAAAATCTAACCACATTGGGTAGCTACTTTTCTTTTTCCTCCTTTTATAGTGAACATAGATTATCAATCCAACCTTAAAAAATACATCATCAAACTCACGGGTGACAATTTTGGAGAAGACACCTGAAAAGTTTGAAATTAACACCCAATAACTCATTTAGCTTCGGCCCGAAGCTACGTGACACTTTCCAATTAAAGTAATTAAGGCTCGATTATTATAACTTAAACAAACGAACCAAAAAAAAATTAATAAATTGTCACCTTTTTTTTTTTTTTCTCGAGTCAAACGTTGAAATGAAAATGAATAGAAGAGGGTGAAAATTGGAAAAGCAAAAACCAAAGGATAAAAGAACAATCTGTTCCAATGATTTGGACATTTTAACAAGCATGGTTGCGAGTTGTAATGACAAGAAAACGTGAAATTCAAAACGAGGGGGAAACAAAATTGGACCCGTGAGACCCACACTAACAAACGGCGCGTGGTGAACCCCACAAAATTTATCACCACTGCCTCTCCAAAGTCCGAAGGGTCAAGGGAAAGAAGAAGTAATGGACAATGGTGGCACAAGAATGAGTGACCAAAGTGAGGACCAACAATTCCATTGGTTCAAGTGATACTAAATTAAGTCTCTTTAAGTAATGTTTAGTTTGAGTTTTGTAGACGAGTGAACGTAATTAAAAAAAAAATCCATTAAAAATGATTAATCAATTTTTTTTTTCAATCGTCGGTGAAATTGATGAATAACATAAGATGAATATAAAAGGAAGAAAAAAAATGGCATACGAGGGAACTCACTTTTTTCCCACTGGTTTGGTTGCACGGGATTAGGGTGAGTGTGTTGCTTCCTTTTTGTGCTTCAGTGTGTTTTTTATGGGCTTTTGGTGGGTGGGGTGGACTTTTTGTTGGTGAGGAATTATGGGTTTGATATGGACAAACAAAAAGCCCATGTGTCGTTGTTGTTGCCAAATGTCATCGAGTTGGCCAATTAGCTTTTGAGCATTGAGATAGGGAATTTGAAAACGATAGCTATTTTATGGATCCCATCAACCCTCTTATCTCTTTCTATTTTTGTATTTTCACTCCAATCATTACTGGGATTTTCAAACCCACATAATTTGCTACCAACATCTTGTCACTGGTTTAATTTAGATATGGATACAAATGGATTAGGCTTTTGGTGAAGGGGGTTTTATGTTAGAAATAGACTGACTAACACCCATTTTTTTATGCCATTAATTAATTATACTATATGTATATATTTATAAAAATATTAGTTATAACAAAGTCCAAAATAATTGATAAACAAAACAAAAATTAAGTATTTTAATATAACACCAACTTTTTTTTAGTTTTGATTTAATATAATCATTATACCTGCGTTATTATCTCTTTTGACATGTTACAATTTTATCTTGCAAAGATGTCTCAATAAATTAAAAAATAAAAATGTTTATAAATTATTTTTAGTCCCAACTTATAAGTAATATAAGACTTTTTCACGCAATAAAATAATTTATTTAAGAAAACTTAAAAGTCTAGCTTATTTCAATTTCTTTTCATAATTTAATGAAATAAATTTATCTTATAAAAATTTTAATTAGTTGACTCCTAAATTAAAAAAATTCTCGACTACCATTTTCATGGACGGAATTTGTCTTAACTACAAACGCATACATATATGTTAGCCACGCACACATATGTTTTACTATGTGTGCAAAAAATTCAAACAGATTCGTTTTTTTTTTTTTTTTTGATAGTTTCAAAGCAAGCAAGATAAAGTAAAAATAATAAAAAATAATAAAAAAGCAAAAAAAACTAGCCTATGACCATTGAGTCATGTAAGTAAATCTTTAAAACAAATAAAGGTGGGACAGTAAACTCTCTCGTCATATTGTAACTTTCCGAAATTGCTAAACAATCAACAACAACATTAGTCGAGAGGGTTTGGCTGATAGGTTTTGATTGATAAGATCTAGCTGAAGGTTTGGCTGAGTACCTTGAACATTAGTTAAGAATCTGCTTTATAAGTGTACCTTTTCAAACTTTTGTCTAGAATGTCTAACCGAGAGGTTCTAACTAAGAAGATCTAGTCGATAGGGTTTACTCAAGAGGTTTTGGTTGAGTGCCTTAAACATTCGCTGAGAATGTATTTCGACTTAGCCTTTCATGCTTGAGGCTGGTGGGCAAGTGTACTTTCCAGGCCTTTTGATGAGAGGGTCTAATTGAAAGGTTATGATTAAGAGGATCTAGTCGAGAGGTTATGACCAAGTACTCCACCAATCATACCCTTAATAGATTGAGTAACTCGATTCCCAGGAAATGCCACACAAATTTGACTTGAGAGTCATATCTAACACAAAATCTTATCTTTACTA